CGCTGCGCAAACCCTAGAATCGATCTCTTAGGAATAGGATTCGCTCATGAGATCCCAGGAAACCCAACAAAACAAACCCGTATGGAGTCCACCATAGGGTCCAGCCATAACCCTAGTCAAGTCCATGACTAGGGGCGTCTCACACGCCCGTCAAGTCCATGACGTTGGCCGTGTCAAGTCCATGACACAATAAACACAACACCCGTATGGAGTCCACCATAGGGTTCTGTCATAGCCCTAGTCAAGTCCATGACTAGGGGCGTCTCGCACGTCCGTCAAGTCCATGACGTTGGCCGTCGTGTCGCACACGACTATCTCACAACACAATCATGCTGCACTCGTCGCACGAGTGAGCTACAAACATGGCAATCAACGTGCATATCTTCCCAATACAATCACGCGTATCGCGGTATTCGGCCCCGACCGAGATACCGGTTAACGCCATGCAAACTACCCAGAATAATCACACAATGAGTCACTCTCATCGTTAGATCACACATCTCACCGCGCGTAACTAATTAAAGATTTTCCGAAGGGTGGGCTTGTATCCTGGGTCGGTCGATCCTTGCATCTCTATTCCTTTTCCGGGGTCATTCGATCCATTTTCATCGTAATTCGGGTCTAAACCGGTCGGTCCACGTCTTCTGGTTCATCCCGAGTCATTTTTCTCTTATTCTGGCCTAGACCGGTCGGTCCAGGGCCTGGACCGGTCGGTCTAGGTGTTCCGTGCCATTCCGGGACCTCTCGGTCTGATTTTTGGTCTGGACCGGTCGGTCTAGAGGCTGGGCGAAGAACAGATCGCGATTTCCAGATTTTTGCCCTACTTCAATCGACCATATCTCACTCGTTTCTTAACCAAATTTAGTGCCGTTTGTTGTTAAATGTTCTTTGAAACGTCCTCTATCTAATCCAATCAATAAATCATCGAAATAACACAATATCACGCTCAGAACGAGCTCACACAGATGGAACTCAAGCCACTCACCTCTGTTTCGGCCCAGATCTGGTTTTGGCCGGATTTCGAGGTGTTTTCCGATCTGTTTCTTGCCGGAAACCTCTTCTAAACACTCTAGGATGTCTCCCTTCGTGTTCCCGAGCTTCCCTTGCGTCGATTCTCCCTGGTTTTCGCCCCTTTCTCTCTGTTTCTCCTTTCCCTCTCTTTTCTCTGATTTTGTCCGAAAATGGTGAAACCCCTACCTTGGGAGAGGTTTATGCTGCGAGAGGGAGGTCGAATGGGCTCAAGCCCAGGCCCAAGGTCGAGCCTGCATCACCCTGAACGGATTGGTCGGCGACTTGACACCGGTGGGCCCCAGAACGCAGCGAGAAGTCGGCTGGAAAGTAGCAACTTGGCCACTTGCGTCCGTTGTTCTCCAGACCGGACGGTCTAGACCAGATTTTTGGTTTTTCTTCGCGTGTTCAGTCTGTTCGGTCCGACCCTCGGTCCGCCTCTGGACCGGTCGGTCCACACCCTAGACCGGTCGGTCTAGGCAAATTTTCGACATTTCTCCGTCTTTTTCCCGTCTCTTCTACGTGGTGTTTTCTCGTTCCTTTTTTCCGTTATTGTATATTCCCGTTTTGATGATAACGCGATGTTTCTATTTAATTATTTATTCTCGAAAATAATTAAATATTCGAATCGGGTTTCGAAGTATTACATTGTCATATTACACAAAGACAAGAGTATGTCTTTTCTCCTCCTATATGTCGACGACATCATTCTCACAGCCTCGTCGGATGTCACACTTCGTGAGATAATTCAGTCCATGCATCGGGAATTTGCTATGACTGATCTCGGCCCCCTATATTACTTTCTTGGAGTACAAGCAACCACCAACAAGGAATGCTTATTCCCTTGTCAATCTCAATATGCCAGAGATATCCTTCATTGTGCGAATATGGAGACCTGTAACCCATGTCTTACACGTGCAAATACAAAATCTAAATTATCCGCCGGAGTTGGAAGCCCAGTTGCTGACTGATAACATGATTTTCTCCTCTATTTTCAGGTCCATTGTCTGGTACTTTCGCATCAGTTTTGTGCATTATTAGATATTTAGGATCATTTTAGGACTAGGTTTTGTCCTCTTTGCATTCTTTGGTGGTTGAACAGGTAACGGATGCGTTATGGACACCAGAGGAGCATAATCAAGGATTTCGGAGCAAATTGGATCGGAACGGAACGACAGGGATATTTCTAGCTCGAGTTGCATTTGAACATGACCATGTCAAGCTCAAACACGATCGTGCAGAAGCGAAAAACGAAGACATCATCACAGACAATCTACACGGACCGTGTCAACTTGCAGCACGCCGGTGTCGAATTGCAGCTCGCCCGTGTTCAGCCCGTACAGAAGCGCAGAAGTTTTGATCAGACAATTGACACGGACCGTGTTGGCATTCGATACGGCCGTGTTGCGTTACGGGAAAACTTCCTATTTTACATTTGAACTTCCGTTTTCAGCAAAGGAAGAAGCCTAGCTGCCAAGCAAATAAATAGAAGACGTCTTGGGCTTCAGAAATCATCGAGAGATCACAGCAGAAGCCAGAGAACTCGAGAGAGAATCAAGACGGAGTTTTCCGGGAGCAGAGATTGAAGAATCGTCGTCGAGAGATCGCTGTGAGTCTTCTTTATCTGTTTCTATGTTTCTTCTTATTGATTTGAACTCGTTTGTTGTTATGGGTAATGAGTAGTTGTTTCACTGTAGCTAGGGATTTAACCTTGTAGGGATTTATTTGGTTTTTATCTTCCGAGACTACGTTATCGATACTCGTCGGTTTGATTGAATTGAGTTTATTGTTTTAATCTTCTTGGCCAGTTGATTGATTGGTCTTAGATTATGATTTGCAACGAAAGTTGAGATTAGATTCTGAAAGAATTTATTGAATGAATAGATTAAGACTATTGAGAGATAGGTTAATTGGTTTAGGAACCGTGATATTGTTCGTTTATACGTTTGATATTTTAATCTATTAGATTGAGAGATCGATAGGTTAAATTATTGGATAGTGGATTTATGACTTGAAAGAGCCAAATCTGAGTTTAGAACTTGAGATCCTTGATTAAGGTTCGATATTCGTAGATTCTCCATCCCTAGAAATAATCTCTGTGCGTTAAGGTTATCCCGAAGTTACGGTGGTTTAGTTATCTGATTTTACTTAGTTTGTTTATTGCTTTATTTTCGGTATCCATATATTTCATCTACTATTTCGTGATCTAATTCTTAGTCGAGTATTGTTCTTAGTGTTAACTATTTCCTGTGTTTGACCCTGGTACTACAGTCGATCCGTACCCTTGCGGTATTCACTGTATCTAGGTTTTTATTACTTGATCATTATTTCTATGCCTAGATCTGTGTACTGACCCTACACTATATCGAAGTCTTGCCGGTGCATTACAATATCTTACCTTTACAAGGCCAGATATATCCTATGTCATACAACATATTTTCTTATTCATGCATGACCCACGGGAACCACATTTTCTTGTCCTCAAGCGCATTCTACGTTATGTCCAAGAAACACTCTCGTATGGCCTCCAACTCTATCACTCTTCACTATCTCGTCTAACCGCTTACTCAGATGCAGATTGGATAGGGTGTCTCGACACATGCCGTTCTACGTCGGGTTACTGCATCCTTCTCGGAGACAACTTGGTATCGTGGTCCTCTAAGCGTCAACGAACAACTTTCCGCTCGAGTGTCGAAGCTGAATACCGCGGAGTAGCCAATGTAGAGGCTAAAACTTGTTGGCTACGCAATCTCTTACTTGACTCCGATGTCCACTTACACTCCACATTGGTGTTCTGCGACAATATTAGTGATGTATATATGTCCACCAATCCGATCCAATATCAAAGGACGAAACACGTGGAGATTGACATCCACTTTGTCCGTGAGAAGGTTGTCCGTGTACTTCATGTTCCTTTGTCTTCACAGTTTGCTAACATTTTCACCAAAGGACTGACTGCCAACGTCTCTTTTCATGGAGTTCCGCTCATGTCATCTAATATTATGTTGTCTTATATGTATCTCTTGCCATATCATCATTGTGGTGTATATATTGGGAATCAATGAGAATACAAACCCTAAGAAAGTTTTATGCTAAGTTTCAATTTTTGGGTGGGCTCATACTGGGTCTTGGGTTTCCGGTTTAATTGACATCCCTAGTTATGGGAACACTTTTTGATAACAAATATTTTTTTTATAAAATATCACGAACTAGAGACATCAATTTAGGTCTGAATCCTGAAACTCGGTTTGAATCCACCCAAAAAATGTTGGGTTTCGAGTCTTTTTTTTTTTGCTAGAAAAAATTTGGGTTTTTGGGTCTGTTTTAAATAGGTTTTTGGGTCGATTCGAAAATTCGATATTTTTTTAGAAAAATTCATAAAAAAATAAATTTACAAAAAGGAGTAATCGAAGAGATTATGGTGTAAACTGTAATGTAATGGGATTAAACCCTAAATCCTAAACTCAACCTTAACTACAACTACATTATGCAAGCTCCACCAATACCTAACTTTTCTTCCAAACTTTATAAACTTTAAGGATAGAAGAGAGAAATAAATAAGGGAAAACAATGAGATATAATTAAGATACAACAACGAGATATAATATAATTAGGTTATTGGGATATAGAAGATGAGGGGTTATTTTTTTTGGTTAAATGAGGGGTTATTTTTTCAGTCACTAACGAGAAAGATTATATTATATAGTTAGGTATTCAAGATATTATCGGATAAAATTGAAGAGTATTTTGGAGAATTTTTTCCTGACAATAACTTGCAAAGCTAAAAAGAATTTGATGCTTTGCGCACTACACGCAACTTTGTCTCCCGCGATCTTTCCTTCCCGCCAATGATATGCAAATCTTTTCATTAAAGTAAAATAAAAAAATTATAACATTTTTTAATTAAAAGTTAATTGTATTTTTATAATAAACTTAGTGTAGAAGTAAATTGGTCATCATTAATCGATACATTTTTATAACAAATTATTTTTTGAGTAATTTATTGATGTTTTTTTTTTTCCAACTTTGTCCTAAAAACACGCAACTGTCTCATGCAACCTTTCCTCTCTGTGAAAGATCTGAAGACGGAGTCAGCGCGAGAAAGAGAGAGGGATGGGTCTGTTCTCCAACAGGTTTTCCCGTCTTTGCCTTCTGTAATTCTTCTGGGTTTTCGATTTCTTGTTTTGCAATTCTTCTGTAATGCTTTTTTTTTGGAAGGATCGATGAGGCGAGTCTGAAACCCGGGGATCATATCTACTCGTGGAGAGCTGCTTACCTCTACGCCCATCACGGTCTTCACTCTTCTCCGATTCTTTCTTCTGCTCCTTTCCCCCTTTCCAATGTTCAATCTTTCTTAGACCCTTTTGCTGTTTTCACTGAAAATCGCGTGATAGATGTCAAGTTTTGGTGTTTGTGTTGTGATCGATCTAGGCTTATGATCGGATCGCGAGAGTTGAAGGGTTTCTGGGAATTTCGGTTGACGGATTAGGGCATAAACTTCATGAGTGAGATCGCGTCTGCATATCATCAGTGAAACGGGAGTGTGAAACGTTGTCAATCCATCTCACTTGCAAGTAGCGAGACTGAATCATCTGTTTGATGGGTTTACTAGTCTGTCCTATTACAAGTTTCGGTTTCTTAGGACGAAACGAAACCAAAATTTTGACAAAAGGGGTCAGATATTGCTGGTTATGTGAGTTTATAGTTCTTTTTGTCTGAGAAGAGATTCAGAAACATATGAACTTAAGGTCTTTGTTGCTGCCAGCAATCTGATATCTGCCCTCTTAGCTTATGGCAATAACAAGATTGTTCCTTTATAGATACTGATTTTCCCGAGTTCAATTTTATATCGATCTTTCTTGGTGATAACTATCCCTCCCTAGGTGATTTTCCTGGCCTGACTCTGGGTGAGTATGATTCCGAACATACGGGCATAGTTCAGATAATCATGTAGTTAGGGTTCTTGCGTGTTCTTTGGCTAGAATGTTTGGTAGAATCTAGTTGAATTTTGTCCAAGCAGAATGTGTTTTCTGGTCTGATCTGGGATTTACTTATTGGAGATTCACCCTACTCGAATTTGGTAACCTGTGAATCGTTGATTAAAACACTTTATTTATTTTTTATTCCATGTTTCTACCTGAGCTTAGAATCTCAGAAACGAGGAACTTATCCATGGTTGATAGGACAGAACAGTGACCGGATTTGCTTGCTCAATCTTTCAGGAATCTATGTTGGAGACAACACGGTCATTCATTTCACCCGAAATGGCCAAGAAGTTAGCTTGGGGACTGCGCTAGATCGCCTGCTCGCAAGCTCGATGACTGTTCGACACCAAGCATTTTGTCCGACGTGCAGCCTGCTGCCAATCGACGGCCATGGCGTCATCTCATCATGCCTCGACTGCTTTCTAGCCGGCGGGACCTTGTATCGTTTTGAATACTCGGTCAGCCGTTCCTACTTCCTTGTAAAGTTCCGTAGTGGAACCTGCACCCTCGCTGCCTCGGACCCAGGTGACATGGTCATCAGCCGAGCCCAAAAACTTCTCGAAAAGGGGTTTGGAGTCTACGACCTTCTCAAAAACAACTGTGAGGATTTCGCGATTTATTGCAAGACAGGGCTGGTGGTTGTTGTTGTTGAACAAGGAGCAACGGGGCTGAGTGGTCAGGGAGTGGTCAGGCGGCGGTGGCGAGAGGCGGGCAGCTCGAGTCTGTGTTTAACATCCTTATCGATCTGGCGGTGACCAAGAACATCTATGCAACGGCTGTGACTGTGGTCCGCACGCATTGTATGAATAGATATGCTGCTGATATCATAAACAGAAGGGATGCGGTGAAGATCACGGTGGAAGATCTCACGAGAAGTCGTTCTTCGAAGGGGCTTGTAGAAGTGATTGATCCTCATATGGCAGACAGTAAACCCCAAGCAGACAAGTCAGCTGCCTAGAAGCCGTTTCTGTGGTCTGGTCACTTTCTATCTGTCATCTTCAATGTTGTTTGATGTTCTGACACACGCCATTGAATTTTGAAACTGTCTGTGTTATGTGGGCTGATACACTTCTATTGAAACTGTCGAATAATAGTTCCCTGTCCATGTCGAATAATAGTTCTCCCGCTAAACCGCATACCAAGTTAAATCATTGTATATCCAATTATGGGTCTTGGGTCTTTTGTATACCACTTGTCATCAGCTATTGCCACGGGTAACTGACCGACAAAACCTGAACACAAACCCAACGATCGGGTTCTCGTCATCGACAACATCATGTCTTACCGATGGATGAATATTCAAATACCCAATTTATGGGCAGCATTCGTACCCACCCCTAATGTTCGAGACGTTATACATTTCAGTCTTGCTGAAAAGGCTAGGTATGACGATTGCCGCGACATGAAAAACACAAAGCAAAACACTATTTGACAAAAACATTTTATAACAGCTAAGTTGGGACATGTGATCTGTTTGTCATCAACTATGGTGACAACAAGATTCACTTCAGAAAAGTATAAGCTATCTGTTGTAACAAAACAAAATTGATGCAGGAAAATGCAAAACTCGGTAGTGGTTTGGAGATAACGTCTCGCTCTTTTCGGTTTTACTTACACAAGCAGAACTGCGTTTATACAGCCGTCGTTCTCGGGGTTATTCGTCACCTGAGCATATTTACCTGCAGCCATTGAAAGAGTAATGAGAAATCTGTTGACAACAGAGAACAGCTTCGGATACAGAGCATAACTTGGGGTTAGCATTATGAGTATTTGTCTTATTACCCCACACGACTTTTCCAGCAGGTGTAACGAGACCGAGCTCACTCACATTGACCTGAAACTCGTCAAAAAAGTGTTAAGAAATATAATTTGCTGTTTTAGCATTAGATTTAAGGATTTAGAATTTTTAGTACCTCGATGATTGTCCCCTTTGTCATGACACCGAGCGAGGTATACATAGGGCCATTAGGGTTTTTCTTGACTCCAATGATGTCGAGACAGAAAGTACATTTAAGTTCAGGGTGGGTGACATGAGCCTTGGTGAACCGTAGCCCCGATGGGCGGATGAAACGCTCGTACTTGGGCGGTTTTCTGGTGAAACCGGGTCCAACGAATGTAGCCTTCGTAACCATTCGCTTCCATTGTTTGGCTGCAGGCAAATTTATGATAAGAGATAGAAGAATAGAGATTGATTTGTGCATAAACATTTAACATCAATGAAGTTAACTACTCTAATCTGTAACCACTACTTAGCTAATGATCTTAAACCCATTCCATGCATCAATAGCCTGAATACACTTAAGAGAGGTTGGACAGGCAACTAAATCTAGAGCACGAAGAAACAAAACATGTTATGTTGGAAGAAAGAACTACATACTTTTCCTCTTCCCAGATCGGATGACTCTAAACATCTCATCTTCAGCAACAGGGCGGACCTGCAAAAAAGGAAAAGGGCTATTCTGAAGGAATAGACAAGTAAAACAGAACAAGAAATTCTGAGCGAATTGGAAGCTACAACACTACCTTTGGTAAAGGGACCTCCCATTTTCCAGCTTTCTCTTTTCTCTTTTGTTTAATGGTGTTGCTCAGAACCTATGACAAAGAACAAAATGACCGAAACATAATGGTCATGGTCCAGTCAAATCAACATTCAGATCTTGTCAAGATCCATTCCAAAACACTTCACCTTGGCCCGAGTAGTGTTCTCACGATCGAGCAGATAGGCAGGAACAGCACCATCATGGACATCCTCATCAACCTTCCGCCTGCTCGATGACTCTTCATGCATTTTCAATCTGTAGTAACACAAAAATTTCCAAATGTAAGAAAACCTGACAACGCATTTGTGGCATATTAGTGGTAGTACAACTACGACATGACACAAGACATACTCAAACTTTCCCCTAACATAAAGAAAGCTTCAACTAATGTTAATATCGATTGCTTACGAATCACATTGTCATTTGTTAGGACTAGCAACCTTGGTACTGCCAATACACAGGATCACACGCTATTACTACAGCACCAACAAATTCTGAACAAAAATGCCACATTCTACGTTCCCCGCCACAGTACAATACACTGGTGGAAAGTTGCACTTTCTATTTAATTGAAACCGGAGAAAATGCAAAAAAAAAAAACTTACGTTTTCTTCATGAGGGCTTTCTCAGCGTAGTTTTTCTTGGCAATCATCTTACCCTTTATACCCAGAGCCTGGTTTTCCAACAAATAAATCAGAAACCAAACGAATTGGAAAAAAATGAAAAAGAAGGATGACTACAGAAACAGGAGGAGAAGAAATCTGAACCTTCTGGGCTATGGCGGAGCGCTTGTGAACTTCACGCGCCTCCTTCTTGCGCTTGCGTTCGAAATGGTCGAGGCGGTATCCATACCTCTTCCTGTGAAGCTCGATGTGATCTCCTTGAGGCTGTATTAATACACCAAAAAATCCACAGAAGAAAAAAACGGGAAAAAGCTTCAAGAGACCGAATTTGGAAGGAGAGGAAGCTAAGGCTTTCGCAGAGGATAGAGAATAAATCGCAATGGAGGGGGCGAAGAAGAACGAACCATGGCTACTAAACCTCTGAATCAACCAGACGGAGAGAGGAAGCGAGACGGGCGTGCGAAGAGCTAGGGTTTTATCCGAGAGAGTTGACTGTTCTAAGAGAGCGAACGGTTTGAACGATAAGGTCGAGTTATTCGCTGTGGCAAAAGGGCTTCTTAAAGAAGTTGATGGGCTTCGATATTAGGCCCTAGCCCACTTTGAATTTAAGGTTTACAAAAGATTTTTTTTCAACTCTAGTCTCCGATATCACACAAAAGTTGGAAATTTATTTATTTTTAGAGAAATCTCAAAAAAAAATCTAAATCTGTCAATTTTTATAAAATAAAATTTATATTTTGATTTTTATCAAATAAAAATTTTAATTTAATTCTTAAATTATAAATAAATCTAAATTTATAACCTTTATCATTTTTAAACTCACCAATGACATTACGTTAATACGTTATCGTCACACGGTAATAATGATGATATGTCAAATATGATTAAAGTGTTGACTTGTCAAATAAAATATTGCTATATAATATCAGTATTTAGATTTAAAAATAACAACAATTGTAAAATTCATTTTATTTTTTTATTGATTATAAACAAAATTGTTTTATTTTATAAAAATTGACAAATTGAAATATTTTTTTTTTAAATGTTCCCTTTGTAAAATGGAAGTTATAGAATTTAATTCTTATAAAAGTCATTCCACTAATGGGACCAAAACTTCAACCAAAATATTGCCACTTTGTGTACAAAAAGAGGAAAGCAAAATATATGTGAGAAGAAGAGCTCTCTAAGCCATTTCCAGAGAGAGATCCCTTTTATGTTACAGTGATTGTAGATTCTTCATAACCCTTTAAGTCAGCTCGAACTGCGTTTTTTCCATTACCAGACATTCTTGAACCTTTGTCAAGCTTCAATGACTTCGGCTTTAAGCTTATTACTATGTCGAGCAAACCGTCTGATGCAAAATCTTCAGTCGCTCGCCCGCGATTCTCATCGTGTGCGTTCCTTCCACTGTCAAGTTAGCGTTTTCCGATGACTGCAAGACAAAAAAATTTGTACCCGAGAATACGACGTTATGTATCGATCCAAACCTTCTTCGCAACATCACTATCTGTTTCAAAGTCATGACCTTTGGACAGTAGAACGACATGTTTGAGACAAACTGTACCTGCAATAAGAGCACCTTTCGTAGCACAAGATCGATCACGGACTTGGATGAGGAAAGTATTTTCCTGACTTTAACATCACCATGCATCAACAGGATGATCGAGACGATGCTTCTTATCATACCCAACGAATTTCCATCACTTTCCCGCTTCTGTCCAGATAAGAGAGCTTCAGCATTTTCGCTCACTATCGAACCCATTTTGGTTAAGACAAGATCCGCAAGCCTAGTGCTTCGTTCGAACAAGAAAAAGCAAGGTACTAGGTAGTATCGGCATGTCTGTATGTAGGCCGAAGAGCTATCTTTATCTTCCGGGATAGACTGCAAGACCGACCATTTTCCCGTATGTAAATATTTGTATAATACTCTTAAAACCCAGCAATATTTTTCAAGAGAGGATACTAAGCAATACGAACTTACGCAAACAACGTGAATCAGATATCCCGGCAGGAATTCACTTAGGGTGATAACACTATGCTCAGAGAGCCTGGTGGGCTTAGAGTCAATGGCACAGATTATCCTGAGCATGGCACATGCATTGTCTAGAGAAGTCTTCAGAATCTGCATCGAGAAGCACATGTCAATAAGTATTACCGAGTTCTCGCAAAGAAGTTTCTGGAGATCGATGAAGATAACGACATAAACTAATCCCGATTCCCAACATTTAGACTGACATATTATCTGATCAGTACTACTGCTGCCCAAGACAGCATCAAGTGGAGAAATACGAGTTTTATCATGATGCAGAGTCGTGAGATATTTTGGGATAAGAACTTACATTTCGCTCTAGTAGAATTTTCTCGAGAATCTGGATGACGAGCGAGTTGTTGCCCATTTCAGACAAACAGGAGCACACAATCTTGGTAAGTGCTTTAAACGTATCACGATTAGTTTCCTGCTTATCATGCTCCATCGCCAAGTACACTTTCTCTGCATAAAAGAAAACCAGAGAATAAGATCGGTGAATGCGAAATCATAGATATGGTAGATAAGCTCTGTTCCACAAGCTTCAACAAAAAAAGTCGTTCTCTTTATCATACTTTTTTATTCTTTAATACCGACAATTGAAGAACTTGGCTTAATCTGAGCTGCTGACCAATTTGTCACATAGAAAATTAATTTTCTATACATAAAAATTAGTTTTATATGTAAGCCTTTCATGATGTTTTAGGACAGCACACCAACAGTCATCAGTTTAAGCAGATACAGCCACAAATCCGAAGGGTTTGTTCATGAGACAGTGATAGGCCATATAATTTTGCAGCTTTTCTCCACCGTACCTGGGAAAACTTTAAAACGTGCAATTAAGGTGATGAGGAAGCTGATATGATCTTTAATCTCTATATATCCAACCCTAAAAGCGGAATGCAGAACTTCCACTATCCGATACAACACAGATGGTTCAAGACGAGGATCTGCAATATACGGTAAGAAGGATTGTAAAGAACTTGAAGAATTAGCCTATTCAACCATCAAGAGAAGACACTTCAAAATTAAAATCCGGAAAAAAGGATTCCAAATGGAAATAGAAAATCTTACTAGATCTTCAAGCAGGGAAATGTGATACTCACACAGGCAACAGGAAACAATTGATGTCAACAGAGAAGAGCTGACATTGTTGAAATAGTAGACGCAACAGAGGGATAATTCTTGGACTTCCCTTGGTAGAGCGACAAAAGGCCCATAAATTGCCTCCCCTGTAAACAGAAAACAAAAAACGTAAGTATAATATTTGCGGTTTCAAATTCAATGCCAATATCGACCATAAATTTCTAGCTGCTTGAATTGCACCTTCTTCCCCAGATTTGCTGTAGAAGTTTCTGAAATCATCTTCAAATGTTCGGGAAGGATTCAGAAAGCCATGCTGTCCAAGACGAAGCACAAGTTGCAAGACAGCCTGAGGAAAGATTTGGAATCAATAAAAGGACAAAAGACGGATGAGAAAGGAAGAAACTAATCATAATTGATTTAAGGATCATGTACCAAGCATTTTCACCTCTAATAATCCAAGAGAATGTAATTTACTATATTGACAACGAAGTATAAAACGAGCTAGCACCTGGGAGGATGACGGATGCTTATCACCTAGCTGATGTAGCAGTGACGGAAGTTCACTTATCCAATCAAATTGGTAATTGTATATTTCTGGATCATTTACGCTGAGGTACTGGATGCCTTGCTTCTGCAAACATAACAACAACTGACTTTACAATGCCATTGGTGTATGCAAAGAGATTATACTTAGATAGAAACTACCAGATATATTATATCTACAGCGACCAAATCAAGTACATAACTTACAGGGATAATCATTTCTTCAATCCTCGAAATGCAGGCCAGTTTAAGTGGAGACTCTGGCTTGCAATCCTTATAGGCCTGAGTAAATGCCTGAAACAATGGCCACATAATACACACAATCAAATATTAAATCAATATGCTGAGCAATCTAGGAATAATGGAAAGCCTCAATACAATATGCTGAGCATTTAGGACAAACCTGCAGAAGACTATCTCTCCAATCATTGTCCACCCTCGAAACAAGTTTTGGAATAAAAGGCAACAGTGCAAGTAAATTCTTTTCATGAATAGATCTATTAGACCTAGTGCTTTTGGTTATCTGCAAAATAATAGATGTAGTTAGATGCTGATAGTCCCGGTAAGTAAAATTCTCCATTTGTAGATTCACAATTTGATTAGTATTTCACCAACGATAACGTAAAGACATACAAGGAAGATTGAGCATATTCCCGAAAAAATTATTAAATCCTGCAAGTAGAGATTAGATAAATATAAAGGAATCTGAACAGACCTTGCCTAGAAGTGTATTTTCAACAAATTCCAGAAATTTATCACATAAATCAGCTGGAGGGTGGATCCATTCAGTTACTTGCAAAAATATTTCTGTGATAATGCTGTTCAGAACGAAATATCTTTCATCACCCTGCCAACAAAAAATGAATGGTGTTAGATGAATAAAAAGATAGGGAAAGTAAAAGTTCTTTCTTTTTCCAAATCAACAAAAATAATCTCTAAGGTTGATTTCAACCCTAAGAAAAAGAACTCCGGATTATTTATTAAAACTACAACTAGGAAAGCATGATTTTGATAGTCTTAGACAAGCATATAAGTTGTTTGCTCACAACTGAATTTAGATCAGGGGGAAATAATCACATAGTTTCTATGATTAAGTTTACTGCTAACATCTGACTATAAAACCTAGTAGTAAATACTGTGATACATACCTTTTCGGAAAGATGGTTCACAGAATTTAGGGGGAAAACACCAAGTAACTTTTTTAAAAACATTGATGCCATGTCATAATCCCATATAATTGGGTAAGATCCTTCAGAGGCAGGTACCAATACACACTGTTCTTGAATGTTTCCATTACTAGAAAACTTGATTGCATAAGATATGCTGCGAAGTATATGATGTATGCAATCAAATGACTGTGCATCCAATGCCGGCATAGATTGAACCAAAGGGATGAAGTCTTGGAAACAATTGATTAAAGCTACAATAATTTCCTTCAATTTTCCGAAGATATGGACAAATCCTGCAAAAGAATAGACATAGAGATAGGACAATGTAAAGCTTCAGTATATGAGAGATCAAAAGAAGTAACTATCTATTAGCTTCACTTATATTTGTTTTAAGGAACAGATATGCCGTTCAACTAAAACTACGAAATTGTAAAGAAATGACCTGAAACTAGTTGTAAGTCACATAAAAGTAAACCAAACAATGAAAGGATGCTGAATTGGTTATTCATGCAACAGAAAGTTTTCACTTCCAGCTTATCTCTCGTGAATTATATTATTCTTCAAAGTCTTGCGTAATAGAACTAACATACAGATTGTTAGTTACTCTTTTCCTCCACAAGTCTGTGGAATTTTGCATTAGCGAGGGAGGAGGCGAAGGAAAATGGAATAGTTGCACTATGCAAAATGCAAAAATTCAAGGAAACATGCTAGAAACCAGACAACAGTCTCATTATGGGAGTCTCCCATAGTTATTGATGTCAAAGGAATCAAAGCCATCACATACTAACAGAGTCTTTTGTGGCATTGCGCCCATAAGCAAGTAGCACTTCAACCGGAGATGAATCCTGAAAAATACAATAATATGGTATAAGATGCAGGTTTTATATGAATAGAATACGACAACAGAAGCCGTTCCAAGAACACGTTGTTGCATGATATTTAAAATTCAACTAACACTATCAAATGGAGTACAAGTACCAAAGAGATATAAAGGATCGGTCAGCCAATTCTATAAGAGTGTGGCTCTGGGAGAATGAAAACAGTATTTCAAGTGCCATATTAACTCCACAATATATCCTTTAAAATAATAACTCTTTTCAAAAACTAGATTTTTTACACATATGGCCCTCTGTATTTCTAGATACACCTGGATTCTATCAATTCCAACTTCTTAGAAGTTCAAATCCCGAACAAAGAAAAATATAAAATGACACTGAATAAAACCATACATTTTACTATGCTTCACTGTGTGACACAAGAAGTTTACAACCAAAGAGGTTAAAACAGTAGGTACCTTTTTACGTGAGTCCGCATCGAACTTTTCACATGGCAACAGCGATAGGCAATATACCAGTCCAGAAAGAGCAACTTTTAGTTTTCCTTTATCTTGCACATAAAACTGATTTTTCTGAATAATATCTTCATAGTTTTTTAAAACCTGCAAGATTTAATAGATGATAGTACCTTTAGCTACCTTTGACGAAACCTCAGGGAAGAAGAGAAAACTTTCTAGGTTATGTTTTTTGAAGAGAGAAACAGATAACAATCTGCAACATAATTCAAGCAGTAAATCAAAGCAGACACCTTATCAGCGTACAACGAAAAGGTAGGCGGATGGTACTGCACAACAAGCTCGAAAAATTTGAAAGCCATCAAGCGAACATCAATGGCGGAATTTGCCATTGCGCTAAATATATATGGCATCAAAAGGGAAACCATGGGACCCCGGTTATCCTGGAAAAAGAAACACATCGAATCATCGATGAGATGTGGAGGTTAGAAAACAAAAAAACATGGATAATAAAAGTGAAATAAACCTTTAAACTATGTATATCTTAATTTTGACAAGGAGATGAAAATCAACAAATAATAGGATAGGATGAACAAAACACTGTGAAATAGGTCCCTTGCATTGATAGTTTATATAATTAATTGAAAAGAATTTGCCTAAGTAACCCATGATACTTAGGCATTCAGCTTAGCATATGATTCAAAGGGGGACTAACACAATCTAAGAATAACAAAAATTAACAGGAAACTAAACAACAAGAGTTAAGAAATAACTGAAAGATAAAAAAAGGAGAGGAAAAGATACCTCTTTACAACCAGGAAAGATCACCGTCTTAAATAATTGATAAAATGTTTGTCTCACTAACTCATCATCATCACTAATGCGCTCCCGAAGTTTCTGTATAACAGCAAATTTATGTGACTGCAATTCTGCCGGATGATTCGTGAAAAGGTCCTTGATACCAATCAATGCATCTGCAGGGACAAAAAACAAAGATATCAAACAAAATGAACATTCTTGAGCTGCATTCAACACTCCCAAATTCAAACCCCTAAAGCTGGTAATTGTATCATGTAAAGGAACATCTTATTCGAAGAGAGGAAACACCTTTACGAACTTTGGTATTGTGATGAGATGTATGCTGTAGAAGCTCCTTCAGAGTCAAGCCCTTCTTGCTCAAAGCCAAACCCGCCTTCTCTGCTGCCACACTCTGCTCAGGAAGTATGATTGCTGGAGCATAACAAAGCCAATTCACCATAAGCCGGTAGCCGACATGGAAAAAAATACAGCATAGAAGAGTGTATAACCCGCGAAAGCAAGAACCTTTAAAACAACCCAACACTGCAGAGACTGTATACCTTTGGATTTTATCTCCGTGTTGGTAGCATTCTTCGGCGGCGGCAATTTTCTACCAAGCTTTCTCTTTATTTTCTGCAGACGACCGAAAAGGATCAATAAAGCGATCCAACAAAAGTTCCAGCATTCAAAAAGCCGATGAAGAAGAAGAAGAAGAACATATAATTAACCTAAAAATCACCTTAAAATCGACTCCACGCTTCTGTTGCTTCTTAGCAGGAGCCTTTGAACGAACCATTTTTCTCCGCTAAGTAAAAACCACAAAGAACAAAAATTAGCTTCAGCAAAAGGATATCAATTAGAAACCCTAGAGAAACCCCAGAGAGTGCCGATATCATAGACCAAACGGTGGCTTTGTTCTGGGCCTAGTCCGGACTACAAAAAAAAAGCCATCAGCGATATAGCTCGCCGAAGGCCACGGCAAGAAGAATAAGAAGAAAACCGACGGAGATTACCAGCTGAGACGATGGTCGGCGGCGGAGTAGAAAAACGACGGCGGCGTTTTGTGTTTCTCACAGCAGGGGAGAGAGAGAAGGGACTCTAATTGAAGCTTGATTTTCTTTTCTCTACTTTTTTATTTTGTATTTTTAATCTGATTAATATACAAATTTGCCAAACACAGATTATATGATGCACAAATAAATGTGAAAAATGAGCAAAATAAATTCATAAAATATAATCTTATTCATATGATTCATCGATTGAATACACTATATTGCATAATGCATTGATAGTTTTAATCATAATTTATATAAAAAGATTTTCTTAATTTTGGGGTTTTTTGTTAATTATAAGTGCGCGTGTGTTCTAGGGTTTTTTCATGAATTTTAATTTCCAATTTTGTCCCTGCCTTCCTCTGCTTTTTTTTACCTGTTTCCGAGTGTCTCTAACTTGCGAAAAAAACATTTTGGCGCCACAATTACAGAGGAAGAGGACGGACGAGGGCAAAAAAACTCTATGATTGATCCAAACCTCTTATCATGCAATCAAAAATCAATTCCTTCTTCAAACCCTCTTCTTCTTCATCATCTTCTCTTTCTGCTTCAGAAACTTCAAACCGAGCACCTTCTGATGCTAGTCGAGGCCAAGGCGACGATTTGGCTGTTTGGGAGAGAAGTCGACACGTCATCGTCAACAAATACGAGCGTCGATCCGAAATAGCTTATAGGTATATTCTTATCTTGTGGAATTCGCATTTAATGGACTCTTCATTTCGAGCATATCCATCTGTGTTGTTCGATTTAGGGTTTAGGGGTTTGGTTGGTTCTTGAGGACACCAGAAAGAGAAAAGGAAATTTTGACCTGGGTTGAGATTCAATTCGTCTTACGTAAAATGGGTAAGATTCAAGTTTAGGTTTTTGTATCTGATATCCATGGGCGATTCTGAAGAATTTGATCTAACTTTGGATTTAATCTTCTGGGTATTTCGGCTTTGTTCACCGTGGAGGGCTTTTCTTCAGAAATTGGAGATTTATTTCTTCATAACTGGAATTGATACATCCTTTTCTCTCATTGTGATGGCAGAAGCATAGATGATGAGGAATACATCGAAGATCCTTCTAAGAAGCAACTTTCGAAGAAAGAAACTGCTGCTTCTTCGAAGAACCTCAACAAGAAACGCAGTTATGCTCAGTTCCACTTAGAACTGGGCCAATCTGATTTTCTTCTCAGACATTGTGCTGAGTGTGGAATTAAGTATGCTCCTGGAGATGAATTGGACGAGAAGAACCATAGAACATTTCACAAGAACCACATGCACGGGATTAGATTCAAGGTTCACTTGATTTTAACCTTGTGCCGAAAAGACAGTGTCTCTTGTATTGGTTAGGTGATTGGTTGATCAGACATTCGGTTCTTGAATTGTCTTCAGGGCTGGCAGAATGAAAGAAGCTTTGCAACGCATTCTTTCAAAGGGGGTCGCATCATTATGATTGTGGAAGATGACTCTCCCGCACACAAAAACAAGGCTTGTCTCATTTTTCTCCTATCCACAACTTTCTTTGATTATTTTTATTAGATTCTTCTTGTCTTTGGGATGTTGCCTTGTTGCATGTACTCTTAATTTAGACGATTTTGACAAGGTGCAGCTTGTGTTTGCAGGTGAAGGAGGTTGTGAAAACAATGGAAATTGAGTTGGGTGAGGATTGGATTCTTCATAAAAGTTGTAAGGTATGAGCTCTGCATCCACATCTTAGGAGATGTTCCCGGATAAATTCCATATCTCATGCATAATTTTCACTTGATGTTTACTCTTCACGGTCAGCCGGGTTCTTATACAACTTGATCAGAAGCATGGGGATGTGCATTTCTTTTGATACAGATTTCTAGCCCTTTGGCCAACTTCACATTTTTAATCCCTGTATTCATAAGTGCTAATATTTGGACCGATTTAGTTGGAACGTGCATGACAAAAATTTGGGTGAGAAAATCTTGAACCTGAAGGTGCAACTCAGACAAAAAGTTTGTCCGGTTTTGCATTACTAGAAGAGATTATCTGGTTTCTTTCCATATCCACATTAAGGACACTATTATTTGCAGGTGTACCTCTTCATTTCCTCTCAGAGGATTGCAGGCTGTCTGGTTGCAGAACCAATCACAGAGGCATTTAAACTCATACCTCGCCTCGAAGATGACAAACAAAGAACTTCCATTTCCCGAAAGAAAGAGACTTCACCTTCAACCACGATCCCATTTGGAAACATCGTTCTACAAAGAGAAGTATCGAAAAGATCCCGGCCATCAGAGGATAGATCATATTATGGTGCAGCTATTGTATGTGAAGAAGAAGCTAAACCAGCTTCCTGTGGTGTCAGAGCCATCTGGGTCTCGCCTTCAAACAGAAGAAAAGGCATAGCAACACAATTACTCGATACCTTAAGGTAGAGCCCGAAAGATCTTATCGTCACATAGATTAATGATTCGTATCATTACTCTTTTTTTTGGTTCTGCCTGAATGCAGGGAAAGTTTCTGCCATGGCCGTGTGCTGGAGAAATCTCAGTTGGCGTTCTCGCAACCGAGCTCTTTGGGGAAAGCTTTTGCATTCAGTTATTTTGCTACTTCTGCATTCTTGGTCTACAAAGCCGGTGATTCTTCCTGATAAACCTAATCAGTACTTTTACATACATTGAAAAGCACAGGTGATGTTTCTTGAATTCATCATCTGCTTCAATTGTTAATTGACAAGTTCTTAGCCGATTTCTTCCTACAAAAGAGAACTGAGAAATTCTTATTGTAACCTTACATTTTTTGTATGAGATAAAAAAGATTAGAAGACGTTCCTAAACGAAATGTTTGCTTTCCCAAGAGATTCGAGTCTTTTACAAACTTAAATGAATGAATGTTTCTCCTTTGATGAATATTGTACAAGAATGTTCCAACTCAAGATATTTGAAGATCATATACAATGGATTCAACAAGGCCTGTACTGATTTCCGGCTTTTCGTTAACTGCATTGTTCTTTTACCTAAACAAAATGATAATTTTTGTGCAACCTCGACTTGTCGAGGTAATGGTAAAGAAAACTCCATAGAAATTCAGGCCTCATCATGTCATGGAATCGTTTTCTTCATCATCGAGAAAATAGGGGCTGAAAACCTTTATGACTTGCTCGTAGACCGGCCTCTTGAAATCTACTGCCTGTTCACATAACCAAAGTTTTGATACAATAATTAAAAAACCCTGAGGCTAACCAAGTTCATGGCATTGCATATATAGATTCGTGTACAGATGTGCATTCAAGAACTCACAAGTTCAACTACTTGCTCAGGTAGCATCCATGACCAAACCTTAAACTCGGGTTTTGCAGTTCCATCACCAAGGAGATTTATCTCCTCCTCCTTGCCCGTGAACTTGAAAAGAAACCTGTTTTCAGACAAATATCGATACAATTTAATTTAGATGCCAAATGTTTTAACAAAGGGATAGACCGATAAGAGGGCAACTGAATCAATCATATTACCACTTCTGAGCCTGGCCTTTGTAACTCGTTCCCCACTTGCGATTCAGTTTATTTCTTACCTGTCGGGGAAAATCATAGGTCAGCCAGTTGGGTACCTGTATGTATAGAATCAAGCTCAGTTTGAGGTGAAATAAAAACAAGAATTGGCAAATTCTTTCAATGCAATTTGGTAGAGATTCTTTGTTGAAGTGGTTTAAAATTTTATTTTTGGAAAAAAAAGAGCAAAAAGAAAACATGCCTCTGCAATAAATTCCGCCGAGGTAACTCCTGTTTCTTCTCTCAACTCTCTAATGGCCGCCTTTCTCAGATCTTCACCCTCATCAGCTCCACCCTATTAAACAGACCACGATTTATTCAGACTATCAAATGACAAATGCCTTTTGTAAATTTGTGAAAATGCATCACATAAATCAAGCACACTACTGATAAGAATCACAATCAAGTATAAACTCATGCTTCACAGACATTATATCTTTTAGTTCAGAACCACTAAATGGATACAAAACAAATCACACTATCACAAGAATAGATGAAAATCATAGAGCTACGGGTTCTCGGTTTCACAAGAAAACCAATTGCTTCATCACAATGTTCATAATCTAAGCTTTCGGGGTATAAAATTTACATGAATGAACTGGTTATGAACCATTGCCCTAGAAATCTGTCAGTACCGTACTACCGTGGTAAATAGCTTTCTGTATTTCTCGAAAAGAGACCAAAACATTCCGTAATCTGTCCGTCAGCTTGAAATTACTACCTTTGAACTGCTTTGCCCTTTCTCATTTTTTTCAAGACTTAAGATTTAGACCAGATTTCAATTAAAAAAAGAAGCAAACCTTCAAGATCCAACAACAAGAACACTAGACTCCGACCACTTTGTCTGTTATTCATTCCTGCAATCCTCTTCTCCTATCCGGAAAAACCTACATTAAGCTAAAGCTCCAAAATGAAAGTCATTTAATGAATTGATAAGACAAAGACTGAAATGTGAAACTCATCAACCGATGTCGCTTCTAAATCTTCCGGCTTTCCAGTAATAGGAAATAAGAATCATGAAAAACAAAGATTGGGAAGTTTCCAGGATTCCAAACTGTTAGGCAGGATGCTTCAAGAACAGAACACAAACTTCCAAAGTTAGCAGTAATCCAAATGAGAAACAAATATGACAAGTTCGCAACCTAAGCAAAGAAACTCGAAAAAAAAACCATCAAATCTGACATTATCAATTCCATATTAACCTATTCATCCACTTCCACCATCTATTGTTTTGCTTCTTAGAACTTATTGAATGAATGAACTAAGAAGGAAACATTCAAATCTTGATGAGATCATCAACTATTGATTATGTGACAAAGATGCGCTAAATTCTTACAAGACAAAATCTAACTCTTTACTCACAAATTTAATTCAATACTAAATAACCCTAAAATGGAAGATTACCTGAGGCATCTGCCATGTATCTGGAACGTGGATCTTCGCTGCAGTAAATATCTACACACCAAATCTCCAAATCAAATAAAACCTAAAAAAACAAAAATATAAACGAATCCGTCGACAATTGTTCCAATCAGATCCATTTTTCACCTTTTTGGAGGGATTCACGAGACAAATCCCGACATTTTTCCGGTATCCAACCGGCGGAGATTCCACGGCGATCGCCGGAGACGACAAGGCGAGGGACAACACCACCAGTGGCTTCTGCGCAGAGACGGGAAGTGTCAGTCGCGAAAATTTGACCGCATCCCAAGGGCAATCTCGACTTTTCATACGCTGACCGGAGATCGCAGATTTCCCCAGGAACCCCGACGCCGCAACGGCCATTGTCGACCCCTGTGGCTTTCTCTCTCTTCTTCTCCACTCTCTTCAGATTTTTTTCCCCGCGAATAGATAAAATATTTATTCCGAAAATACCCTCCCCACCAGATGACCAAAACGCCGTCGTTTAGTTGAAACCCCCACGGACAAAGGGAGAAAGAAACCGAGCTAAGAACTGCCTAGTCGGAGTTTTTTTTTTTTTTTGATGAAAGCCTAGTCGGAGTTTTCTCAGCATTTATCAACAATGGCGGTATGGAGAGTGAGGGAGGAATCATCGAGCGTTGTACCCCTTCCGACAACCTCGCCCGGAGCCTCCTTCCGTGCATAGCTCCTCCTCTTCGCGAACTCAAATCCTCACTTAAGACACCGCAATCCCCAGTTTCCCATCTGTCATCTTCTTCAACCACACCGGAGGAACATGAACAGGGAGAGGAAGAGAAAGAAGAGACAACCTCGTACGACCCATCTCGTGTTCTCTGGTGGGTCCATTTCACTTGGGTCCTCTCAGGCAATGGCATGTTCATACCTTCTACGTCGCTTTCTTCAGTACGGCGGAAAAAAACCGTTCATGGAAGCCGATGGGTTGGAGGCGATTCAGATAGACGGAATCAATGGACTTTTGTGGGACTGTGGTGGGATTTGGAACGGGAAAATCACTCAAATGACTCAGTTGGTCGCATCTATTTGTACAAAAAAACATAACACGTTTTTTTTTTAAAAAGACAAAATTACCCTTAATGAATACACGATATTTATCCGTTCGAAAATAACTTCTTTATTACGACTTCGTAATTAATTCTAAATATAGTTACAATCGATTCTAAAAAAGGTGGCAAAAAAATCATCTATCTTTTTTAGTTGTATATCAGTTATATGTTAGTCGTAACAAGGTCGCAAAAAATAAAACGAAAAGGGTATTTTGGACTTTTTCAACCGAAAACTGGGTTAAAATTGAAAAAAAAAAAAAAAATTTGGTGGTGTACCCTGAAATAGCTGCGACCCAACTGGGTTATTAGGGTTAAAACCCCATTTGGAACTGAGGATCAATTACAGAACAGGGATCTTCAATGCCCCACAGTCCGGTTTTTTTACCCAAATAACCCACTTGGGTCGCATCTATTTCGTCTGTACACCACCGAAAACATAACACATTTTTTTCCCTGCGAAAAGACGAAATTACCCTTAATGAATTACGATATTTATCCGTTCGAAAACAACTTCGTTATTACGACTTCATAATTAAGTCTAAATATAGTTACAATTGATTCAAAAAAAGGTGGCAAAAAATCATCTGTCTTATTTTTAGTTGTATATCAGTTATATGTTAGTCGTAATAAAGTCGCAAAAAATAAAACGAAAAGGGTATTTCAGACTTTTCCCACCGAAAAGTGGGTTAAAATTGAAAAAAAAAAAAATTGGTGGTGTACACTGAAATAGATGTACCCAAGTGGGTTATTTGGGTGATTTTCCCTTTCGAATTTCAAATCCGTAATTACATAAATACCCTTTTCTGAAACCGACCCAAGTTGATCTGAAAAGCCCAAACTCAGCAAGCCCACAACAAGCATTATCTTTAGTTGGGCCCGTGGGCTTTCAGAATTTGCAATTCGATTTTCATCTGCCGAAAAAACAGAGTCCAGTTGTGATGAACTATCTTGTTGACGAATAAAATCATCACCATCGCCATTATATTATATATATGTGTATGTATATATCTGATATGATTATAAAAAAAGTGATATAATAACGAAAAGGCATAATTATGAAATAGTGTAATAACATATCCGTAACATAGAGATTACCAAACCGGATAAACAGAACATGGAAAATGAAAAACAGAAACAAGGGTTAAAAAAAAAGGTGGTTATGGTCCTAAGCGCGAGACCTGAATGAGGGAAGTGACTGTCTTGATGAGAGTCAAGATGAGGAGAATGGCGGCGGTGACAGTGGCTGTGCCTTTCCACGTGTCGGGGAAGTAGACGCGCCTTAGCTTGGCGCAGGACCTGTTGTAAGAGCTCTTGTAGTGACCCTCGAGCGATTTGGCTATGTCGTGATAGCATGAGTTCTTCTGCACGACTCCCGTGCAGAGGTTGTTCACCATGTCCCATCCATCCCTTTATCACCCCTTCCATTCATTCACACGCACACATTGTTGGTTGTAACCTTGTCCGAAGTCAGTTTTGATTATTTCTTGATTATAGTCTGTGTTAGTGTTCAGTTTCGATATTTTTAACAAATCATATGGAATGTTATATGGAAACGCTATGTTCAACCTTTTCCATGTGTGTATATATATATAAAAAGAGAGAGAGAGTACCTTTTTCAATGAGCAAGTCGACGTCTTTATCGGTGTTGTTAAGGAAATCCAAGAAGGAAACGTAGTTACAGACGTAAGATGCCAATGGGTAGTGGTACTGCTCGAACGCCATCATGTTCCTCAGTTTCAGCTCCAATTCGTCATCTGGGACGAACCTGGGTATTTTTAGGCAACCCTTCTCAAATTCCACCACTAATGAAGACTCATTTTCAATTGCCTCGAACTTCACTCCTGCGCTGTCCAGTTTGTCGGCTGTGTACAGAGGCTTGATGACTTTTTCTTCCCTTGGTGTGGAGGAGGGATTAAAGATGTTCACATACGCACACCTAATCAAATCTAGAAAATGTTTGAAATATGTGTCTTCATTGATCTTATCCACTAGGCCGAACTGTTTCAGGACGAGGGTGCGAAACGTTTGGTCCGGAAAACGTCTTGTTCAAACTCCATTAGGTATCTTTTCCTTGAACCCCTCGACGGTGTCTTCCCCATGCCTATGTTCAAACTCCATTAGGTATTTTCGCTTATGTCTCTCCACGTTCATGTAGTCCAAGTACCTTGTACCCATAATTAGTACGAAGAAAAAGTATGTGAGAAAGGCATCGCCACTTTACCAAATAGTTTCTTCTATAGCTTTCCAAACTCGTACGGACAGCATCGATGTGCATGTCCAAACAATCCAGACATGGATTCTAAAATGTGAACATTCTCATGTATGATGATGGCATAAAACCAAGAATGCATACATGTGGGAATGATAGATAAATGTATACCTTAGATCGTCGAAGGAGGAGTCTCGGATGGCTTTCTTGGAATGGGTGAGAGGGCCGAGGAGGCGCATTTGGGGCGTGTAGGCCGCAGGGTTCACCCTTCTCAACCGGTTTGGCACTCTGTATATGCAGCAATGTTCGAGGTCGAGCACAGATCTCCACACGCAACCTTCTTCAATGTCCCCCATCAAATGCACTGCTCTAGATGATTGGCCTGTATAACAACAGCTCGTTGAATCTATTTTCTGACACAAATCGGGTTTCTATTCCGCGGTCTATTTGGATCTTAAAAAAATATAACCAAATGGTTATTTCATTTAAATCGGTTTTGGTTTGGTTCGGTTGTATCTATTAAAAATAATAACCAAATTTAGATTTCTTTTTGTTCAATTTGGCCAAATATAACAATTATACTTGACCGCTAACCAAACTTAAATTTAAGATGAAGCAAGCAAACAAGTGCATCAAGGATGTTTTTCTGAATTTATTAGAATGATACTATCTAGTACATATACCAACACATACTGATCAAGCAAGATAACCGATTTAATGCGTAAAAATTTATATATCCATAAATTTTGGATTGCAAAGTCTACACTAGAACCTCCAGCAAATGAGATATAATTTTAACAAATCCAAAAGAGTGTAACGAACAACAAAATCGAACAAGTAAGGGTCGAGAAGAAGCATACCGATTTCCATCTCAATCGACGAAGAATCCACCGTCGCATTTACAAGAAAAATCGAGCATGCGCGAGTGAACGCTCCATAGAGATTACTTCCGATAAAACTTTGGTTCTCGAATTCTAACCGTTGGAATCAAAATACCGTAGCAGAATTTAGAGCGACAGAGTTTATAAGTTATCCCTCTCAATTTTGGATCGATCAGACAAAAAAATGATCACCTAATCAACCGTTCCACATCCACAACTCCTATCAATTTATAGACAGAACTACTCTCAATTTATAGATAATGTTCATACCAATTTTGTAAGTACCGAATTACTTAATCATGGAAATTCCTCCATGCCTTCACCATATCACATCTCTAAATAATAAAAAAAATCCATGCCTTTCCATTATCGTCCACTTGGAGGAAGAGGAACACCTCAGTTATCAGGCACGTAAAGACACGTCGATAAACTAAAATAGATGTGGTTACTTACCATAAATAAGAGAGAGATCTCGATCATTTAATAAAGCTTGACTATGTTTATTTTTTTTTTATAAAAAGGTTTCTGAATTGTCGGGGTTTTTTTTATATAACAGGAGCTTCCAATCAAACCATTGACTTCAGATTATTACATAAGGCATTCCCAACTTGCTAACAAAGATTCTGTAGAAAGTTGACAGAACATCCACGAACCTTCCGCCGCCATTAAAATTATTTTCAGTAAACAAGTCTAATTTATCACACTTTATTCTTAAACAAACCTGATTTAATATTCTTGTAAAAAAAATATTGAAAATGTCGTAGATTCTTTAGATCTTTTGGTCTTTGTTCTGTTAAGTCTGGTTGCTGTTCTTCTGGGTGTCGGACGGTTGGATTCCGATGTTTTCTTGTGCCTCACGTCATGTGAAGATTCTTTAGATCTTTTGATCTCACCGCACAAATTTGGGTCTCTGTTCGAGTCTTGATCCAATTCGATGTATTGGATCTAACCATTATATTGGGCCTAAAGTTTAATACATTTGGGCTCAGGCCCAATCAATTACATGCCGTATCTGTATGTCTATATAATTATTATATATGATCGGTAGACGTAAATTTTTATCATTATTTTAATATTAATTACTATGATTTTTTTAATGTCGTCTCTTTTGGAAATTAATATGATTGATGCAAAATTCTGTATCGAGATACGTTTGGGGTGTTCCCGATGTATTTTTTTTTTCATAACCATTAGGTTAACTAGGCTTTCGATCCATTTAATCTCGTTAGATTCGGAATCAGCTTTTAGTTATACAATTAATTGTGTCTCATCCTCTCTACCAACAGAATTGAATCCAATAATTTAAAATGATTTTATCACCTTTCAACCATTGTACCATTATCTATTGGATATGTTTCTGTTATATGTACAGAGGTTACAGATAGAATGACCATAGCTCGATTTTAGAAAGTTGAATCGAAATAGAGTAATATGTAATTGTACGCCAAATTTTGATATAAAAATCAATGAAATATTCTCTTTCGACAAAATTAACTAAATTTAAATCAAATATGAAAATCATAAAACAAGAAAGGAGTAAATAATGAATGAAACAAAATGTAAATTAGGACACATGTCGCCCGTCCGCTTACGTTACAAATCCACTAGCATTATTGTAGAGGTAGGTTTTGTTAGTATTAGAGAGTAATATTCTTTATTTTAAAATTATCAAGGTGGTTAAATGTTTCCCGGAATCCCTATCGTACGTACATGAATTTCTTGACGCCAACATTAGCTCTTCTAAAATATGAAAAGGAGTAAATAATCAGTTATATTCTCATTTGGGTTTTAATTAGTAACGGACTAATATTTTTTTTATATATTTATATAGCTAAATATATATATATATATATATATATATATATATATATATGTTGGACATGGACAGTTCAAAGCATGATGATCCTTTTTGTACATACATGGAAGAAGACCTCGTGAATTATCAAAAAGGGTCCATATCTTAATCAATTTCATCGAGAAAATCCACTTTTTGAATTCTTTAACCACCACCACCGCCCAAGCTTAATGTTATTAATTTCTTGATTAACCATTAGAAATAGAGTCATATAATTCTAGGATTAAATAATGAATAAAACAAGATAGATGCCCTTTATTTTCGTCGGGTCATATCATTTTTCTTACTTTATTTTTGTGGATTTTGTTGCCTTTTGCTGCGACTCCATCGACCAATACTTCTCATCTCACATGCAATCATCCACAAAATATTTATTATTAGAAGAAAAAATCGAGAAGCGTATCAATTTATATCATTTATCATCAATCATTAAAATTTAACCTTATTTAAAAAAATAACAATTTTGTTTAAAATGTTTTCTTCTAAACGTTTGAATTCGAATGTATTTTTTAGACAAAGAGTTATTACTGACTTTGAATATTTTACTCATAAACAAAAAATATCAAACTATAAAAGAATATTATATATATATATATATATATATATACATATGTTCAAAAACATTGAAAAAAAATGTGTCTAGCTTTCCTTTCAAATGGAATACAGAATTATAATAGCCAGCCATACAGGTTTTAGAGTAATAAATAAGATTAAAAAAATGTATAATAATACAATTGCGTATTTTTCACGTTACTAATCAAAATTCAATATATGTTCTTTGTTTTCATAGATTGCGACGTGTTAATAAAAAGAATCACGAAAGTGTGAAATAAAGAAGAAAGAATTAGTTGCTGCCAAATAAAAAAGGACAAAGAATTACTTAAATCCCAAAAAATATATATTTAAAAACAATATATAGGAATTTTGAGAGGTTCGAAGAAGATGCAATGTGGGGACGTGATTTAAGAAACGGGGCACTGTTTTGGGGAATATTACTCAAATAACCCACTTGGGTCGCAGCAATTTCAGTGTACACCACCGAAAAAAAAAAAAATTTTGCGACCTTATTACGACTAATATATAACTAATATACAACCTATTACGACTAACAAACTACTCTTATTTTAGTTGTATATTAGTTATATATTAGTCGTAACAAGGTCGTAAAATTTTTTTTTTCTGGGTGGTGTACCCTGAAATTGCTGCGACCCAAGTGGGTTATTAGGGTTAAAACCCCACTGTTTTGTGAGGATAAGGACCAATTTTAATGCCACAGACTATGAAAGAAAATTTTCATCTTTGTTTCTTTAGGACACCATCATCATCATCATCATCATCATCATCATCACCATCATCATCATCATCATCATCATGGTAATCAACTATGTGCATACAGGCAACATTGGTATGTTTACCCCCCATGGAATAGTCGAGTGGTCGATCTGAGGGTATAAAACATCTGAAGATCGGGTGTTCAATTTCACTTGGTGGGGAGATGGTCTATCTACAAAAGTTGGTCTCGGATTTAGGATGGATATAATCGGAGCGAAGGTCCGGAGAACCATTCTAATTATAAAAAAACATTTGTATGCTAGCTATAAGGATATTTACATTGACCATGATGACGCTAATGCGATGATAATTGATGATGGATTAGCTAGATCTATTATATTATACAAAATATCAAATTTAATTTTTCTAAAAAAACATGGTTATTGAAATTGCCAATATAAAAAAAAAGTAGTTGGGTTGCAAAAACTTAACTTTGAGAAGTCTTTTACACATTTACTAAATTGGCAATAAGTGCCCTTCTCAAACAATTTCATTCGTATAATTTTTTTTTTTTATCATGTTGTAGTAATCGAAGCAAGTAAAATGACTTAAAAAGGCCACATTGCAAGTGACACTAATCTTCATAAAAGAACAAAGATAATGATGGCCTAAGTGGTTGTCCTTTTGGCAATTTGTGTTAGCTATTATTGTGGCTTCTTTTTTTCATTGATCAAATTATACGACAATCTATACCAAAGATAAAATAAAATTTACCAAACAAACATCATGTGCACGTGTATATATACTAATCTATGTAATAATCTTTTCAAGAACATTATTTATTTGTGTTTTCACTTCAAAAAAAATTTCAGTCAAAACGGGGAGACTGTTCCAACGAATAAATTTTATATATTATTTATTATATTTATAATTTTTTTTTTATAAACTTGTAACGATGGTGACAACTTAGAAAATCTAATTAACAAATACATAGATCAGTTCTCATTGTTAATGCCCATTTATGCACACATAAGCAGAGGAATACATGGATAAAGACGTACTTCACCAAAATCACACAATTATTTAAGACGTGTATTTAAATAGTCCCAAAAAAATGTAAGATTCATTGTTAACTAGAAGTTTATCGCAGAATTTATCATATGAACAAAACATGTAACATTCGAAATTCGGTATTTTATATTCTAATATAAAGAATTTATTTACTAGATTGCCTTGCAAATACATATAAATAATATATAATTGATGGTGAAATTAAGAGTAGGTATATATTTTTAGATTTGTATATTTTTAGTTTTAAAAAGATTGCATTCATTTATTTCTATTCGAATTCGTTTACATTTATTTTTTTCAATAAATATATATTTAAAATTTTTTTATTTCATTCATTGTTACCTGTGTGTATTTATTTAATCCCATAAAAAAATATTTAGATATGTCCTAACATCGTTTCAGGACAGAGTACCATGACGTGCTCCACGTGGGAAGAACCTCGTTGTCTCTCGACTCTCGATAAAAAGTGGGTCCCATGAAATCGTATTTCCACCGTCCAATCATACGATCCGACGGTCCTGATGTTACATGCTCTAGCTTCCTAATTACGCTAGTTGTCTTCGTTATTAGTAATTATATATGTATATGTATTATTAAATCTGAGTATAATTTTTTTTTTGTTACGATGAAAATCTCTATCCTACAATTTTTCGGGTCGGATACTAGACACCGCAACGTGTCTCTCACTCGATTGACCGGACAAGAACGGTATCAGATAGTATTACAGACCTGAGAAAAGAGTAGAAATTTACTCCGGTTTTAGATTTTCATATGACTTTTAAATATAAACTTTTATTGGTGTAATAATTTAACTAATACTAATAAGATCATAGTTAAATATGGATGCAATTAAATAAAAAATGGGTCTGCTATACTATACAAAATCTGTTATCTTTTTCAGCTGATTAATTAATTAATTAATTAGTAGTTTGGTTTATATGATTTCAATGTGAATGGAGACTATTTCACTTTTTAAACCTTTTTTGTATTTTTTTAGGATCACGTGGATTTTTTTGTGTGAAATTATGACAATCTGTTCCAAGGTGTGACATTATAAATTTTATTGGGTTTAATTTCATAAAATATGTAAATGTGGCAGTAACAATGAAAAATCAATGAAGTGATTGTGACTTTGAATAGTGTTGAGATGAGTATTGTCACAACCATCACTTTTTTTATATATTTTTTATAATCTAAAAAATAATCGAATATTTTGTTCAACTACATTTTCCAATAGTCTAAGTGAATACTTCTCTCTAAATGAAGACCCGAATCTGAATTGAAAAAGAACTTTAGTCTTTCCATTATCGGTTGAACCACCCAATCGTGGATCACTTAATTTAAAGAAATTAATTTAATAAAATTAGCTTACTTGTTTAATTATTCCCAATATGTTTTGATAATTGATTCATATATAACTATATACAGTTATGGTATGTTTACCTTAACCTATTTAATGAATAGATTGGATTGGAGGTTAGGCGCATGCTAATATATAGGACTGGTTATTTCACGAAAATTGTGTGTGTGTATATATATATAACCGATTATTTAATCATGTAACCTAACCGAATAATCTAAATAAATAAATCTAAATGGAACGCTGAAATTATAAAAATTCAATAAAACAATTTTTTTAAAATTCAAAATAGCCAAAATTCAATATAAAATTTATTTAAATGGATTTTTTTTCAAAATTATAAAATATAATCCCAATTGAACTAAAATCCGAAATACCGAAAACGAGATGTATAGGAAATGGGTCCCCCAAAGTCATAACCATCACCTAGAACAATAAATAAAATCCCATCACACCAAATTCCACACATTAAAATTCTCATTTATAAAATTATAAAAAAAAACAAAATTAAAAGATAAATATTTTTTTTTAAAAGCCTTCATTTCCCAACCTCAATCCTTTAAAGCTACATCACACACATTCACACACACACATATACATACACACATACATACATACATACATACACACACACGCTCTAAGACTAAGAACAAGAACAGGAAGAGGAGAGACCAGACAATAATTTTCCGATCGATGACGTCAAAAGACTGCGGATCGCACGGGAAATCTCGCCGGAAAATAGTTCGCCGGGTAATATGGACGATCATATTCTTCCTCTTCATCGTCCTCCTCGCTATCCTCCTCGTCTGGGCAATCCTTCAGCCTTCGAAGCCGAGATTCGTTCTGCAAGACGCCACCGTATTCGCCTTCAACGTCTCCGGCAACGTCTTGACGTCGAATTTCCAGATCACTTTATCGTCACGTAACCCTAACGACAAGATCGGCGTTTATTACGACCGCCTTGACGTCTACGCTACTTACCGGAATCAGCAGATCACTTTCCCGACCGCCATCCCTCCCACGTACCAGGTAGTGATGTTTTTTTTTTATGGAGTTTGCTTATTTCTCTCGGACAAGAAAATAATGACAAGATTTGTTTTTTTACATGTCTTGGTGAAAAGATTTGATTTGCATTTTATTTGGAGAATTGGTTTTCGGTTTTGTTTTTTTTTTTTTTGGTTTTTGAGGAAATATTATTTTTGAATTGAATCAGAAAATAGTTTGGATTTATTCAATTTGATTCGGTTTGGATTTAATTATTATCGGTCTTTGTTAACAAATCGAGAGTTTTTTTGGGCTATTTTCCAATTCATATTTTATTAAGCTATTATCCTTTACTATGTTTTTTTTTGGGGTTCAAGAAACTATGGTTTTATTATTTTCCATTACATAGTTTATTTGAATTTATTATTTTAGATTTGATTTTATTTTGGTTTTCCAAGTTTAATATTTAGTTGGAATTTGATATCTTTGTGATAAAACCGATTCAAGGAACCTCTTACTAAAATAAATTAAGACCGTATTTAATTCTTGTTTCTTTTTCATTCCTATAAAATTTTCTATAATGCGTAAAAAACAAAAAAAAATTTCAAAACACACCCATTAATACACAAATCGAAATCTAAAATAAATTGAACTGTGAATAATATTTCCAGCACGAATGATGCAGGGTCACAAGGAGATCAATGTATGGTCACCGTACGTGTACGGCACCGCCGTGCCCGTGGCTCCGTACAACGCCGTCGGCCTGGAAGAGGACAAGGATCACGGCGCCGTTACGGTGACGATCCGAGCCGACGGAAGAGTCCGGTGGAAAGTCGGGACTTTCGTCACCGGAAAATACCATCTCTACGTCAGATGCCCCGCCTATATCAACTTCGCCGACAAACCTGCCGGAGTTAACGCCGTCAAGTACACCTTCACCTCCTCCTGCAGCGTTAGCGTCTGAAAAGCCTTGACGGCGTTAAATCCATTTGATGACGCCTCCGTTAATACCTTTTTCCTTTTCTAATTTTTATTCCCATCACAGTATGAATAGTGCATTTTGGCAAATACGACGTTGACGTGGAAAATAAATCCATACATGATAGTAATGTTGTTATAGCGATTATAATCCATGGAACAAGAAATCATGTCCAAATTATGTTATCATAGTGATTGTAATCCATACATACTAGTAATAATTTTTTTCGTCATTTTCATCTATGATTTTTTTTATAATATATATATATATATATATATATATATAATATTCAAAATTTGATCATACTTTTAACCAACTACACTTCCTAAAGAATTAGAGAGGTACGGGTGAATTCTACTTTTCATGTTTGGATG